TCGATGGCTTTTTTGAAATCTCCCAGACTTTGATAAGCGTTGCCGAGATTAGCATACGAACTTCCTTCTCCAGCCCTGTCTCCCACTTCTTTGGCAATTTTTAGACGTAGTTCAAGGTCCTCGATGGCTTTTTCGAAATCTCCGGGAATTTTGGCAACGTTGATATAACGGGTTTCTTCTTCGGTGTTGGCTTTCACATCTTTGGTAGTTTTTGGTAAAGAGTTGGTATTTTCCTATCGGACAAAAACGCATGTCAGTTAATGACGAAAGCAGGAGTATTTACCTAAAAATTTACAAAGTGCTATTTTCGGGATTTATATAGCTGAAACTATCGATAGCGTTCCAAAGCAAAGCTTTGGTGGTTAAACACCTCTTGGTCCAGCCTGGACCAATGAGCTGGTGAAAGTCTTGGGAATCCTTATTTCGTATGATAGTGTTGGCGAGAAACGGAAGAACTTTACTAAGAAAGTAGATAATCCTAAGACAAAACTTGCCACTTGGCATTCACTTAAATTTTCTGTGTTTGGGCGGTGCTTGATTGCAAACACCCTAGGATTGTCTCAAATTGTTTATTCGGTTTTTATGGGTGACACTCCACACAAATACGCATCTCTAATCCAATCGCTACTTTTTTCAATTTTTATGGAAAAACAAACCAGATAAAATCAAGAGACAAGTCTTATATCAGGACCATGGCGATGGTGGTTTGCTGTTCACTATTGTTCAAATTATGTTTAAGTCCCTGCGCTTAGCGTGGATCCAGCGTCTCCTCAAAAATGATGACGAAGAAGATGATACTTGTTCAGCAATTCCAAAATTTTGTCTTATGCTCCAACTGATAAGAAATTTCTAAAGGATTCAGACATACCATCCTTCTACAAGGATATCGTGTTCCCTTTCCTAGAACTAAAAAGTCTTTATAACTCTGAGGATGAACAAGAGATGATTCTCTTTCATAATAAAGAGATCCTCGTTGACGGGAGGACCGTTTACGACGATTGGGTTGAAAAGGGTGTCTTCACGCTGCATGTTGTAATTGACGCCCATAGCAGTTTTTTACCATTTGAACTGTTCCAACAGCGTTATGGAATTAATTGTAATTTTTTCAAATATTTTCAAGTAATCTCTGCGATCGTGAGCAGCTTGCGAAAAAAAAGCAAGAAGCATGCTCAGCCTAATGTCAACTTTTTATCCGGCGGGACTTTATTTCAATTATCCTCAGTCTTAACCATCGACCTCTTGAAACTTAGATCTCAAGTTTATTATTGGCTTTTTCTTAATAAACAGAAGCCTCAGGCCACTGGTCCAATGAAATGGGACCGCGAATTGGCTCTGACATCTTTGCCATGGAACCAAATCTTTAATATTCCACGTTTTCGTACAGTGCATTAAGGAAAACATTCTCTACATTATTTTGGGCCTCATCCTTGGAACAAATCAGACCAGACTAATAGAAAGAAGCCTAATGTTAAGAGTTTTAAAAACAGTATTAAGAGTAAAGACTTATCACTCCTAATAGATAATTGTAAGAACTTTGATGTATGCTAGGCTGCTATACATTTTGTATTTTACATATATGTCTAGATTTATAAAACGGTGTTAAAGACTGAATTAGGTGTTTTTTACTCTGGATTTATGAAAACGGTGTTAAAGACTGAATCAAGTGTTTTAATTGTAATTATTATTTTAAATTGTTTTTTGTTTGCTTTCACTGTGACAGCAGCTTGTAAATCTTACCTAGCATTAAAAGAAGAGAACTTCTTGTCGCATGTTTCGTTTATTTATCTGTTGTTTTTTTCATTATTTATTGCCCTCCCTCCCCCTTTCAATTTGTGTTAAGTTTAGCCCAGGCTACACTCGTCTGAATTCAGTTCACACGGTGACTCTCAACAAGGAGCCGGCCGATTAGCGTTCTGTACTTGCTGTCTAAAGGAAGTCTGCCCGAGGACATCATTAAGTCCAATGAAGGCGCAAGTCTAACGATTTGCTAGCAAGCGTCGTCCATTATCGTACATGGAGCAGATGTATCACATGTAAACGGCGTGTCATTTAGCCCCGTAATAGTAGGCCGTTTGCACTGTGGCGATAATGTTGTCCTTGTTTTAGACAGCAAAGGGCTTTAGCCATATCAATTTAGGGCTTAGACGTGTAATGGACAAGACATTTCTAGCTGCTGCTGGCGTTATTTGCTCTGAACTTTGATGCATCTAAAGACTTAGAAAAAATCTGTTGAAGTCTAGATATGGCATTCCCCACTGGACAAAATGCAAGTACATCGGGAACATTGCTATTTGCGAGCAAAACATGGCTACGAGCAGAGTGAAGAACATTAGGTCAAGCGCTGATCGTGAGTAGAATTTCCTTGTTTTATCAATTTTAGGCGTTCTCGGCCTAGCTAACAATCAGAACTGTCTGTGATTCACTAGCGCGGAAGAAATTTATTTGCGTGGCTTCCGGGCGATAATTGACATATCGAGTTTTCACTAATTCATAATTATGGCCTAGTTTGTTTGAAGTTTAATCGATTCTCGAACTAGAAAGCTCTTGTTCAGTCCATTTAGGACGATGCAGGTTTTAGAAAGGTATAAATCAGCTCTCTGCTGCCGTTTTGATATTTGTACTTTCGTGTTGATTTAGACTCCAATTTCATGATAAAAGCACTCTTAACTAAATTGTACAATTCACGATTCAACGAAAAGACGGTGAATTTAGTCTTCCTAGCCTCAAAAGGCATACAGGAGAGTTATTTCCTTTTATTATAGCTACGATAAGCTTTCTGGAAAGTTAGCTCTGGGACAGAATTGTTTTAAGATTATCAGTGACAAGTCAAATTCTGTGGCTATGTTTTTGCAAGTCCAGACAGAATTATTATAATTAAAGTTCACGTTAGGGCTACTTTTTCGTTGAAAGATAGAAATAAATAACCGATTCGATTACTTACCATGCTCTTGTCACAACGATTGGCTAATTAAACCCACAGTAAAGACATAGTAAGGTCATTTAGGTGAAATCACAGAGGTTAAGCCTGTCTAAATTAGTGCCGCGAATCAAATGATCAATTTAAGCTCTAATTTAGCTTTGTTTGGCTTGTTTGACTCATTTGCAGCGACTTCAAAGGCTTGTATAGGCATGGTATGCCCTCTGTTGAGAGTACACGAGGCAGATAGCACTCTCAGTAAGACATGGCCATATTTATGTACACTATCTGACCGATTTTCCAAAAACACGCCCACTGTTTTGGTGCAAAGTCTTTAACACGGTTCTCATAAATCGAGACATATTTGTATTTGATATAATGTAAACTTTTTATATCTTACTAAGTTCATATATTTCATTTATTTATTTATTTATTTATTTTAGACATTTTTCATTAATTTGTAAATAGTTTTAACTTTATGTAGCTAAGGTATATTTTCCTGTGTAAATAGTGTACCCAATTAGTTTTTTTAAGCTAAATACTATTGACACTTTAATAAAGTTATTCATTCATTCATTCATTCATTCATTCATTTATTCAAGGCTATTTATAAAGAGAATCAACTGAGAGAATTTTACTTTAAGCTAATCCATCGCATTGTTGCTACGAAGAAAGAGCTTACTCTCTATGGAATTAAACACAATAATAGATGTTTTTACTGTGGTGAGCCTGACTCAGTTCTTCATACATTTCAAAACTGTAGTGCAACAACTTCTTTTCTCAATCGGCTGCTGAACTGGCTCAATGAGATGCATAACGCCTCAATATCCCTGTCAAACTACGAATTATTGTTTGGTAAGGCGTTTGGGAAGGATAATAACATTGTTAGGAAATTTAATCTATGTTTATTATTATGCTCACTATTATCTACATCATCACAAGGTAAATGAGAGGAATCTTGCCTGGATTGAATTTACTACAAAAGTAAATTACAGGTTAAGAATAGAAAATCAAGTTTCTGGTATTCTTTCATGATGTTTGTTCGCATTTTCTGTCCTGTTAATGCTTTTAAAAGGCATTAGATTGATACAAGGATATGTCGTTTTAAAGAAAAGGGTGATATATGGCTAGAATAATTGTAAGATTAATTAAAGGATATGCAATTTAAAAAATACATGTATTGCTGTTACGAATGTAAAGTTCCTTTAAATAATTGTTAAAAGTAAGTAGGGTAAAGAAGCTGTCTTGTACGGCAAGTTGTGTTAATAGCTGTTGTATGTTAAGTAGTGTATGTAGCATTTATGTTATTGTTTTATTGTAAATTAGCAGCAAAAGTATTGTTAAATGATCTAAAGTGTGAGGAAACATGATAAAATAAATCAAAAGAAACCAAAGTGTATTAATTTTGCCGTTGGATTGCGATGGCTTTCTTTGAAGTCTAATGTTAGAATTACAAAAAAATAATTATGCTGACAATTATCCCAGGGCGCTGCCAATCAACATACTCTTTTTATGTATGAGAGTGGCTTGTTACAATATTAATAATCTTAATGTTTTACTTCCTTAACATAGAGGAGAGACGTCAAAATGCTTGCGTTTTGCTGGATGCGTCCTTTGTATAGTTTAACAATATAGTTACATAAAGAGTGAAAAAGTTGTGATTAGTAAACATAAGGTAAAATAATATATATATGTACTCGATACAAGATAAAATAGTCAGGAAACGGCAGGTAACAATCTACAGTGTTGGACAGAATAAAATAAGAGATAAAACCACCACACCCCCTAATCAGGGTTGAACTTGCGTTAAACCCAAAGCGCACTATTTTTCCATCATTGAAATGGGAGGGGGCGGGGGGAGACGGGGGGGCGGGAAGAGGGGTGGCCTTAATTGTAAATTTAAATAGCTATGGTCGCTCCAGTAGAAGCCATGCCTTATCGCATTTCCAAACAGCGAGGAAAGAGGTGAAAACGCGATGCGGAGAGGAGTGTTGCCAACGATTTTCATACAACTTCATACACTTGCAAATTGACGTAAAGATAAGCATGTACGTATCGCACAATGGATAATTTCCTCTTAGTTTCCATTCTATATCTCCTCGATACAGTAAAAAAAGATGGCAGACGATGTTTATGCATATGCTTATGCTTTCAACAGCGCGTTTTCACTTGACATAAGCATAAGCATATCCTAAGTTTGTTGCGTTTCCATTTGACACTCACATCATGAGCTCGAGATCATGTGCTAGATGGCGAGAGCTCAGCCCAACTTAGCTATCACGCATACAAATCGAGAGCGAATACTCTAATTGTTTGGGTATAAATGTACAAGTTGTTAAATAACTTTAGCCAAGTTCTTTTCGCAGACACTTCCAAAACGTAAAGAAGTGGCCGCCATTTTGTTAGCAACCATATGCTGCAAGAGTACTCGCACTCTACAATAGAATAGATATTAAGTAGCGTAGTCAATAAGAGAACAGCATGAGTGATAGAATGCTTGTATATATAGAGAGAAACCAGATACAAAGAAAAAGATAATGTTTTCTATTTCGTCTCATTTTAATTCTCAAAATGTAAATCATCTTTTCTCGATTCATTGTTACATTAGGTTTTTTGAACAAAATATCAAGTCCGGTGTAATTTAATCTCCCCTTTAAAGCCGAGAGTATATTTTCCTATAGCATTACTTACCTGGCCTTTCACTGAGTGAGTTCTGGGATTGGTCTTTGCCTCTGGTGATTTAAATCGATCTCCAACACACCTGGCTCGTAAATCCAGTAATGTCTTGTTAGTCTTGTCAATCTGCTAAGGGTTAAGGTACATGACATAATTAAAATATATTGACATTTATAATCCATCATATATTTTCGCGTCCAATGGAGGCTGTTGTTATACATTCTTAGAACTTCGTTTAATTACTTATATTTATATTTTTGTTTTTTCCAAGAGGGCACGATTGATTGATCTTTTAGCGCGGTCCGGATTTTTCCTATCTCTGACCACGGTCTCAGTGACGTTTTCATATCGGTTGTTTTCGTCGTGTAGATCAATTTTCGTGAGTGAAGTAGCGGTAATCGTCAACCTTTGCCCTTTTTACACTTCCATTGACGATTAATCCACACAAGGTTATATCTATTCACTTGAAAGTGGCGAGGAAAGTCACTGCAAGTAAATTCAAACAAGTGCTTCATTTCTGAGAGTTGTTTGGTTGTTTGTAGCTCGCCACAGTGATGGCGTGTCATCTTGTGTTTTTATTAACCTACTATTTTCACTAAAAAATGAGTTAATGTCAGTCGAGTTTACCTCTCTGATTGCTGGTGTATTTGAGAGAATTTCTGTGGAATACACCTAATGAATTTCCTCGCTTTCTGCTATTTAATTTACGGTATAAAAGCCTGATTCAAGTTATTCGCAACGACTGAGAGAAATTATTTTTGTAGTACAACTTCAAACTTTGCACAAAATCTCAGCATTTTCAAAACCTCGCTCAACTTCATATCCTCGTGTCCACGTGACCAAAGTCGCGTGGACACGAGGATATGGAGTGACATTGGTGCAGTCCTGTGTAAGACATTCGTGTGTAAGCATTATTTGCGTTCCAAATGCAAGATTCCTGTGAAGGGCGGTAGATAGATAGGTAGATAGATATTGCTCAGGCAACTTGCGGGTTAATACATTTGGGCTACGAAAGACAGGTATAAAACCGACGATAAATTGACGACGTTTGGTGCTATTGATTTTGGAAATACGAGTTTTAACCACGCTGTACAGATTCAAGACACCTTATCTATTTTTTTTTTCGCGAGGACCGGGGTGAAGGTCGCGGAGACTACTCAAGCATTTATAGCTATTTGTGACAAGCCGTTTTTAGCATCTTATTTTGTTAGTGTCTGAGCCCTTGCTTCACGCAATTAGCATGCGCTTAAAGTAAATTTGGCGACAAATAACAGGCTGAAAATGTTGAAGTGACGGGTCTCAGTCACGCACAAAACACCAAAGGTGATTATGAGTAGATTGAAAACTACCCTCTAAGGGGCATTTTCTGCGAATAAGCAAAGAGGTGTTGCTCACAAAAACTAATTGTTAGTTCTCTCCCTGTATATATACCACTATGGGTCAGATCAGGGCATCAGACCAGATCGAATGGGCTTCGTAATGCTTCCGGAAGTGCTTCCCTAACATAAGGAAAATCTAGGGATCACAATGAGCCCAGTAATTAAATACCTGACTTATTTCGTGCCGTAAGAATCAAAGGCTATTGTTTGTAGGCAACTTGTATGAGAATTTGGCTCGTAGCAGTATAAAGGGATTTGACCTCAGGTGTAAGTCAGAGTGCGAAGTCATAATTTTTATTACAGGAAACAAGCAACTGAGCACATAGAAATTGGATTTCAAACTCTATATTCTTTCCTGAAACGATTCTTCCTTTAATTCGGAGATGGCTACCCGTTTCTTCTCATAAGTATTTCAGTCAAGTTGCCCCTTAAAGTAACAACTCATACTCCCAAGACTGTACAATGGAGAAGGGGTTTGATAGAAGCCCTCCTTTGGTTTTTGCAATCACATTTACTTTGAAAGCATTGTGACTTTTGTAAATAGCGTAAAGCTACATACCCACAGCTATTGGGCTTCTTGAAGCCCAGTTATTATGCTTAACGGGATTTTAGTGGCATCTATATAAGGCAGAGAGAACACAGCTTTTTGTAATTTCTCCCTTAAAAACTTTCACTAGAATCCCTAACGGTAACATGGTATTTCCCTTTACAGCTTGTAAAGAACATGAACAACTGATGTTATAAAGGATACTGCTAATCCCTTCTCACACCACGATATGGCGTCTCCATAACAATGTAGATGCTCACAAGCTCTTGCTCCTACAATAGAATAATTATTTAATATTATGTCAAAAAAATACTATTTACAATGCACAGAAGGAAACATCTAAAACCTGATTTATTCTTGTAAAAAGCCATATTCGTAATCTGGTGTTGGACTGGAAATAGCCTGTAATCGAGACTCATGCGGGGGAATATCATTAAAAAGACATTAATGTCATTTGTATTTGAAGATTTCTGTTCGATAGCTGTCGGCTTCATGTTTATAAATCAGTCGAGTNGAACTAGCTTGTAATGGAGGCTCGTGCGGGGGAATATCATTAAAAAGACATTAATGTCATTTGTATTTGAAGATTTCTGTTCGATAGCTGTCGGCTTCATGTTTATAAATCAGTCGAGTCCAGGATTTTACCTGTTTTTATGGCTTTAATCGAAGTCTGTTCCAACTTGACTGCAGCAGTTGCATCATTTAGGGCCTCGCGAAAATTCCCTGATTTATAGAATTGAGAAAAACATTTCATGCACAGTAGAAGAAGTGGCGAATGAGTATATGCAATAAAAGCTCACGAGGTTCCAGAGGTATAAAAGAGCATGTTTTCTTTCAATGTTTAGACTCAATCTATGGGCACAGAAGAGATCTGTTTTGATCATTCGAACTATAGTTGACTCCTGAGAACTTAAACATTCAAGAATGTGTAATGGAGAATTTGAATCATCGGGTGATGGGAACGAACACCGGACACTGCAAAATAAAACTGTAAGCGTTTTAATCAGGTTTATTGCTGAGAAAGAGTAAAACTGGAACGATGATTCGGATCACGCAAGATGATCTTACGCGGGCACTATCAGGTGATAGTATAATCATGCGTGAATATCAGTCGATAGTGCCCGTTCAGAGTAGTAACTCATGAAATGCAAATTCTTATTTCATTTTTTAGATGAAATAAAATAGTTTATATCTCCGGTGTTGATTTCTGTTTGAGGATAGCACGAAGAAGTAGCTTTCTGAATACTGCGATGAACTACGATACAGCAAAATAAAAATTAATCGAGCGTAAAGACGTTTAAGATTGTAAAGAGTAGACACTCCGTATATTTTTACGGCGTTTTTGCAGGTCAATATTTGACATAAAGAATTGTATCTATACATACTAGTTTCGTTTCACCCAAAAAAGGAAAACCTTAGCGAAAAATACCAAGGCGGAAAACACCAGAAAATTTACTGGTGAACATTAAAGACAATTAAGCATCTATTTCTCGTTTATGTCTATGAGCTGATAGTTGTGCCCGGAAAGTTACTTTCCCAATATCATCTGCTGAACGCAAAGAAAGCAACAACTATTTTTGATTGATGGATAAATTTAAAAATTACAAGATCAAGATCTTACCGAGACGGTAATAAGCTGTTGCTCTCTTGGTGTACACCTCTGCTATCGCTGAAAAAGCAAAATTGATTTCATTAGTAACATATTTTGTTCAGTACATTGAATAATTTGTTTCCCTTACGTTTACATTTTCCTTTACTTTTATCTTTGCCTCCTAAAGTCCAATCTCCATGTCAATGTCGTAGGAGGTGGAAACAGGCAAAGTAGGGATTGCTAGGCAGAGTGGTGTATGGTGGGAGGTTAATCTTTGCGAGCTGTTACGGTAGCCATGAAGGCCTACTTGGATCAACCCTGAAACCTGCAATATAAGAGTGCCCCTCTTACATGTACCTTAACTAGAAGGTGGAAATGAAGCAAAATCAACACAATAAAAATTGCAATAACATCAACAAAAAAGAATTAGATTACATTTAGCCTGCGTTCACACAATCGTAATACACGTACCTACTTCCGTGTAGATATCTAAAAATAAAGTAGTACTGCTCTATCGGATACTTAAGTTAGAGGTTTAAAAAGTCCTCTGTTTGAGTCCTTTAATCCTCGGCGCCCTGAGTTTTCAGTAACAAATCGAAATTGGCCGACTAATGACCCAACCTACGGTTTTTGAAGCCGTGAATCCCATCATGAAAATTTGCAACATTCCGGCAAACATTGCATACAATCCGCAAAAACTGAGGACAATTAAGTGGTAATTATTAACGCATGGAAAATGTCTGCACCACTGAAGAACTTTGAAATGCATCTCATACAAACATTTTGTGTATTGTCTTCTTCACACCTCCCCTCAAGAAGCGGAAACTATGTAGTTTATTGAAATTCATTTGGCAGTTTGGAAAGTAATGGAATGATCTGACATATCGTAAGCTTAAGTGCTCTGAAATCCACTGATTACAATCAAAGCCATTTGGTGAAAGGGAATTTCAACAGAAGTGGAAATTCCTTCTCACCATTTAAGGCGTTTCCCTCAGTAATTTGTTGCGAGGTCTTTGTTTTTTAGTTTGATTGTTTTTTTTCTATAATTAAGTAATTACATTGTATTGTAACTCCTTAAGTAACGTAATGTGTAAGTCAT